CCTGTCTGGTTGGCTGACTTCCCCTGTCTGGTTGGCTGACCACCATTCTGTACGTAACCAACGCATAGATTACATAAGCCAGAGGGATAGGATATATTTTATTCATGAATATGTACAGTAAAAGTGCGGTTCTTGGTTAGGTAGGGTTCAAAGTCATGTCTCTCCATAGGCCTTGTGATCTACTGCCTGTCTACACCGAATCTGTAGACGGTTGCCTGCCAGTCTACTGCCTGTCTACACTGAATCTGTAGACGGTTGTCTGCCAGTCTACTGCCTGTCTACACCGAATCTGTAGACGGTTGCCTGCCAGTCTACTGCCTGTCTACACCGAATCTGTAGACGGTTGCCTGCCAGTCTACTGCCTGTCTACACTGAATCTGTAGACGTTGTCTGCCTGTCTACTGGGTGTCCACACTGAATCTGTAGACGGTTGTCTGTCTGCCTGTCTACTGGGAGTCTACACTGAATCTGTAGACGGTTGTCTGTCTGTAGGTCTCGCCGGGACGGAGGACGGTGCAGGGGAAGCTGGGCTGTAACAACGGAGGAAATATGACGCATGATGGAACCACCGGTGTTTCTTGAGCAAACTACTTGCCCTGCGCCTGATGAAATATGAATAACAGAAAAGAATTACACTACTAATAATATTCCCTCAGTAGAAATATCAAAAGTACGATTTTTTACTCGGTCAGCCCACGTGGAAGGGGCTAGCAGATGACAAAACGTTTCTAACCTGGTAGTTGCGTTGACCCACCTGATTCACACAGTCTGGTTGGTGTTAGGCTTCAAGACAGTTGCGTTAACTCACCTGATTCACACTGTCTGGTTGAGTGAGTGAGTGAGTATGGTTTTACGCCGCTTTTAGCATTATTCCAGCAATATCTGGGCGGGGGACACCAGAAATGGGCTTCACACATTGTACCCATGTCGGGAATCGAACCCGGGTCTTCGGCGTGACGAGCGAACGCAACTGTCTTGAAGCCTCACACCAACCAGACAGTGTGAATCAGGTGGGTGGACGCACCTGTCTTGATGTCTGGTTGATGTTAGGCTTCAAGACAGTTGTGTCCACCCACCTGATTCACACAGTCTGGTTGGTGTGAGGCTTCAAGACAGTTGTGTCCACCCACCTGATTTACACTGTCTGGTTGATGTTAGGCTTCAAGACAGTTGCGTCCACCCACCTGATTTACACTGTCTGGTTGATGTTAGGCTTCAAGACAGTTGCGTCCACCCACCTGATTCACACTGTCTGGTTGGTGTGAGGCTTCAAGACAGTTGTGTCCACCCACCTGATTCACACTGTCTGGTTGGTGTGAGGCTTCAAGACAGTTGTGTCCACCCACCTGATTCACACTGTCTGGTTGATGTTAGGCTTCAAGACAGTTGCGTCCACCCACCTGATTCACACTGTCTGGTTGGTGTTAGGCTTCAAGAAGGTTGTGTCCACCCACCTGATTCACACTGTCTGGTTGGTGTGAGGCTTCAAGACAGTTGCGTCCACCCACCTGATTCACACTGTCTGGTTGGTGTGAGGCTTCAAGACAGTTGTGTCCACCCACCTGATTCACACTGTCTGGTTGGTGTGAGGCTTCAAGACAGTTGCGTCCACCCACCTGATTTACACTGTCTGGTTGATGTTAGGCTTCAAGACAGTTGCGTCCACCCACCTGATTCACACTGTCTGGTTGGTGTTAGGCTTCAAGACAGTTGCGTCCACCCACCTGATTTACACTGTCTGGTTGATGTTAGGCTTCAAGACAGTTGCGTCCACCCACCTGATTCACACTGTCTGGTTGGTGTGAGGCTTCAAGACAGTTGCGTCCACCCACCTGATTTACACTGTCTGGTTGATGTTAGGCTTCAAGACAGTTGCGTCCACCCACCTGATTCACACTGTCTGGTTGGTGTTAGGCTTCAAGACAGTTGTGTCCACCCACCTGATTCACACTGTCTGGTTGGTGTTAGGCTTCAAGACAGTTGCGTCCACCCACCTGATTCACACTGTCTGGTTGGTGTGAGGCTTCAAGACAGTTGTGTCCACCCACCTGATTTGCACTGTCTGGTTGATGTTAGGCTTCAAGACAGTTGCGTCCACCCACCTGATTTGCACTGTCTGGTTGATGTTAGGCTTCAAGACAGTTGCGTCCATCCACCTGATTCACACTGTCTGGTTGGTGTGAAGCTTCAAGACAGTTGTGTCCACCCACCTGATTTACACTGTCTGGTTGATGTTAGGCTTCAAGACAGTTGCGTCCACCCACCTGATTTGCACTGTCTGGTTGATGTTAGGCTTCAAGACAGTTGCGTCCATCCACCTGATTCACACTGTCTGGTTGGTGTGAGGCTTCAAGACAGTTGTGTCCACCCACCTGATTTGCACTGTCTGGTTGATGTTAGGCTTCAAGACAGTTGCGTCCACCCTCCTGATTTACACTGTCTGGTTAACGTTAGGCTTCAAGACAGTTGTGTCCACCCACCTGATTTACACTGTCCGGGTGATGCTGGGCTTCAAGACAAAATGCTCCAAACTTCCCGTAGGTGGCGCCACCTTTGCCCGTGGCATCCAGATAGTAGCTGGTGTAGAACATGACAGAAGGTTCTGTTGTGGACATTTCTAGGACACGGCCTGATGGGGGGTGCTCCACTCTGTAAATGAGGAGACACAGCGGGAAACTGAAGCTGATTATAGGAATGATAAAATAATTCCATTTGAGAATTCCATTTAATCGGGTAGCCAGGCTCGCTGACTTGCTTATACCTTATTTCACACAAAGAAAGCGTGTGTCCATCAGTATCAGCATCTTCCCGTGGCAGAGGCATTACCTGACTATGAAAGTCCAGTTTCCACCCTTGCCGAACTAGGCTGGAATTTCCAGGCACCTGGATTAAAAACATGAACATATTTGCAAAATATCTGTCGACCGACAAAATAACCTGAAGTCGACCGAAATCTGTAAGGTAAAAATCCATGTTGTTTACGAACAAGATGTCTAGTTTGTGACGCGATTTTGACTGACTCTGCATAGACTCGTTAGTCCAAGTCGGATTTCTAACCTAGTTCGGCACGGGTGGAAACTTGACTCTTAGAGTCAGTTAACTTCCTTGCCTCGGCATCAGCTGAGTCCTATAAGAAATAAACAAAGCAATATCAACAGTGTTTCCGTAGATATCCACTGTCTGAGGTACTGCGTTTGTCACTCCCACCTTGCCACGTGTTTCAGGGTCCCCGAATCCTCCAAGTTATAGCTGACAGTGTATCCTTTCTCTCCCGGAACTGACGTCATGTGATCACCCAGCCGCACCGGGCTCCGCAGGTCGTATGGGGTTCCAGCGACATCTTTTATTTCACCTTCGACATATGCAAAATATAATCAGACAATTACAAAAACTCTTCAAACATTACTACAATATACATCATCAATTTTGACACCGTGTGCACCAGCAACCTCATACTGACGATAACCACCCGACCACAGATCACCCATACAGTCTACAAGATTATATGCAGTATTACATGCAGATACATCGGAGAAACATCAAGACCTCTCAACATCCCCATCACAGAACACCACAGATGAACCGACAAATACGACTCTTAATGCGTCGTAGCCGATCACAGCCAGCAAAACCCCAGCCGGCAGATCCATTGGACCCCAGTCACCAGATCCAGAGGACCTCAGCAACCAGATCCAGTGGACCCCAGCCAGCAGATCCAATGAGCCCCAGTCACCAGATCCAGTGGATCCAAGCAGCCAGATCCAGTAGATCTAAGCAACCAGATGCAGTGGACCCCAGCCACAAGATCCAGTGGATCTAACCAACCAGATCCAGTGGACCCCAGCCACCAGATCCAGTGCATCGAAGCAACCAGATCCAGTAGATCTAAGCAACCAGATCCACTGCATCGAAGCAACCAGATCTAGTGGACCCCAGCTACCAGATCCAGTGGATCCAAGCAACCAGATCCAGTAGATCTAAGCAACCAGATCCAGTGGACCCCAGCCACCAGATCCAGTGGATCCAAGCAGCCAGATCCAGTGGATCTAACCAACCAGATCCAGTGGACCCCAGCCACCAGATCCAGTGGATCCAAGCAGCCAGATCCAGTGGATCTAACCAACCAGATCCAGTGGACCCCAGCCACAAGATCCAGTGGATCCAAGCAACCAGGTCCAGTGGACCCCAGCCACCAGATCCAGCGGATCCAAGCAACCAGATCCAGCGGAACCAAGCCACCAGATCCATTGGACCCCAGCCACCAGATCCAGTGGATCCAAGCAACCAGATCCAGTGGATCTAACCATCCAGATCCAGTGGACCCCAGCCACCAGATCCAGTGGATCCAAGCAGCCAGATCCAGTGGATCTAACCAACCAGATCCAGTGGACCCCAGCCACAAGATCCAGTAGATCTAACCAACCAGATCCAGTGGACCCCAGCAACCAGATCCATTGGATCCAAGCAGCCAGATCCAGTGGATCTAACCAACCAGATCCAATGGACCCCAGCCACCAGATCAGTGGACCCCAGCCACCAGATCCAGATGATCCCAGCCACCAGATCCAGTGCATCCAAGCAACCAGATCCAGTGGACCCCAGGCACAAGATCCAGTAGATCTAAGCAACCAGATCCAGCGGATCCCAACCACCAGAACCATAGGCCAGCAAAACCCCAGCCGGCAGATCCATTGGACCCCAGTCACCAGATCCAGAGGACCTCAGCAACCAGATCCAGTGGACCCCAGCCAGCAGATCCAATGAGCCCCAGTCACCAGATCCAGTGGATCCAAGCAGCCAGATCCAGTAGATCTAAGCAACCAGATGCAGTGGACCACAGCCACCAGATCCAGTGGATCCAAGCAGCCAGATCCAGTGGATCTAACCAACCAGATCCAGTGGACCCCAGCCACAAGATCCAGTGGATCCAAGCAGCCAGATCCAGTGGACCCCAGCCACCAGATCCAGTGGATCCAAGCAGCCATATCCAGTGGATCTAACCAACCAGATCCATTGGACCCCAGCCACCAGATCCAGCGGATCCAAGCAACCAGATCCAGTGGATGCAAGCCACCAGATCAGTGGACCCCAGCCACCAGATCCAGTGCATCCAAGCAACCAGATCCAGTGGACCCCAGCCACCAGATCCAGTGGATCCAAGCAACCAGATCCAGTGGACAAGCCCATTATCCTCGACTCCAACCAAAATACATCACCATCAGAAAACTAGCAGAAGCGATGGAATCTCCATACCAGCCCCATGTCCATGAGATTTCATGTCAGTGAGATAGCGTTCAATTCTTCATTCTTATGGAACCAACCACAACTATATGAATTGTTTGATAGGCATTACTTGGAAGTTGACGGATGACAACGTAGTAGCGTCTTGCTTGACAACGTTGTAGCGTCGTGCTTGACAACGTAGTAGCGTCTTGCTTGACAACGGTACAAGGATCTACAGCGAAACGTCGCCTTTACAGTAATTAAAGAAGTTGTCATCCATAAAGTGTGTCTACTTTGTCAAACAAATATTATGTTCAACAAAAGTGATCATTCAGACAGGAAGAAAACACTCAAGTATGATTTCTAAAGAATTTGTAGTATTGGAAATTAACTTTGACAAATTCTTCATTTCTGCTATTTCAGTTGTAGTTGTTTGGGTTTATAAAGATTAGGCCATAAATATACATTTTCTGGCATATGTCTACTACGGATTGTATCAAAAGCTTGATATTTAAATACATAGTGGATCTCGTGAGCAAAAGCTGGCGAGTGACAAGGGAACGTGTTCTTTCTTCTCGGGGTATAGCAAGCCAGCGGCCAGTCTCTACAGGCACACGTTCTTTCTTCTCGGGGTATAGCAAGCCAGCGGCCAGTCTCTACAGATACACGTTCTTTCTTCTCTGTGTATAGCAAGCCAGCGGCCAGTCTCTACAGATACACGTTCTTTCTTCTCTGTGTATAGCAAGCCAGCGGCCAGTCTCTACAGATACACGTTCTTTCTTCTCTGTGTATAGCAAGCCAGCGGCCAGTCTCTACAGATATACGTTCTTTCTTCTCTGTGTATAGCAAGCCAGCGGCCAGTCTCTACAGGCACACGTTCTTTCTTCTCTGTGTATAGCAAGCCAGCGGCCAGTCTCTACAGATACACGTTCTTTCTTCTCTGTGTATAGCAAGCCAGCGGCCAGTCTCTACAGATACACGTTCTTTCTTCTCTGTGTATAGCAAGCCAGCGGCCAGTCTCTACAGATATACGTTCTTTCTTCTCTGTGTAAAGCAAGCCAGCGGCCAGTCTCTACAGGCACACGTTCTTTCTTCTCGGGGTATAGCAAGCCAGCGGCCAGTCTCTACAGATACACGTTCTTTCTTCTCTGTGTATAGCAAGCCAGCGGCCAGTCTCTACAGATACACGTTCTTTCTTCTCGGGGTATAGCAAGCCAGCGGCCAGTCTCTACAGATACACGTTCTTTCTTCTCTGTGTATAGCAAGCCAGCGGCCAGTCTCTACAGATACACGTTCTTTCTTCTCTGTGTATAGCAAGCCAGCGGCCAGTCTCTACAGGCACACGTTCTTTCTTCTCGGGGTATAGCAAGCCAGCGGCCAGTCTCTACAGATACACGTTCTTTCTTCTCTGTGTATAGCAAGCCAGCGGCCAGTCTCTACAGGCACACGTTCTTTCTTCTCGGGGTATAGCAAGCCAGCGGCCAGTCTCTACAGATACACGTTCTTTCTTCTCTGTGTATAGCAAGCCAGCGGCCAGTCTCTACAGATACACGTTCTTTCTTCTCTGTGTATAGCAAGCCAGCGGCCAGTCTCTACAGGCACACGTTCTTTCTTCTCGGGGTATAGCAAGCCAGCGGCCAGTCTCTACAGATACACGTTCTTTCTTCTCGGGGTATAGCAAGCCAGCGGCCAGTCTCTACAGATACACGTTCTTTCTTCTCGGGGTATAGCAAGCCAGCGGCCAGTCTCTACAGATACACGTTCTTTCTTCTCTGTGTATAGCAAGCCAGCGGCCAGTCTCTACAGATACACGTTCTTTCTTCTCGGGGTATAGCAAGCCAGCGGCCAGTCTCTACAGATACACGTTCTTTCTTCTCTGTGTATAGCAAGCCAGCGGCCAGTCTCTACAGATACACGTTCTTTCTTCTCTGTGTATAGCAAGCCAGCGGCCAGTCTCTACAGATACACGTTCTTTCTTCTCGGGGTATAGCAAGCCAGCGGCCAGTCTCTACAGATACACGTTCTTTCTTCTCGGGGTATAGCAAGCCAGCGGCCAGTCTCTACAGATACACGTTCTTTCTTCTCTGTGTATAGCAAGCCAGCGGCCAGTCTCTACAGATACACGTTCTTTCTTCTCTGTGTATAGCAAGCCAGCGGCCAGTCTCTACAGATACACGTTCTTTCTTCTCTGTGTATAGCAAGCCAGCGGCCAGTCTCTACAGATACACGTTCTTTCTTCTCTGTGTATAGCAAGCCAGCGGCCAGTCTCTACAGATACACGTTCTTTCTTCTCTGTGTATAGCAAGCCAGCGGCCAGTCTCTACAGATACACGTTCTTTCTTCTCTGTGTATAGCAAGCCAGCGGCCAGTCTCTACAGATACACGTTCTTTCTTCTCTGTGTATAGCAAGCCAGCGGCCAGTCTCTACAGATACACGTTCTTTCTTCTCTGTGTATAGCAAGCCAGCGGCCAGTCTCTACAGATACACGTTCTTTCTTCTCTGTGTATAGCAAGCCAGCGGCCAGTCTCTACAGATACACGTTCTTTCTTCTCTGTGTATAGCAAGCCAGCGGCCAGTCTCTACAGGCACACGTTCTTTCTTCTCGGGGTATAGCAAGCCAGCGGCCAGTCTCTACAGATACACGTTCTTTCTTCTCGGGGTATAGCAAGCCAGCGGCCAGTCTCTACAGATACACGTTCTTTCTTCTCTGTGTATAGCAAGCCAGCGGCCAGTCTCTACAGGCACACGTTCTTTCTTCTCGGGGTATAGCAAGCCAGCGGCCAGTCTCTACAGATACACGTTCTTTCTTCTCGGGGTATAGCAAGCCAGCGGCCAGTCTCTACAGATACACGTTCTTTCTTCTCTGTGTATAGCAAGCCAGCGGCCAGTCTCTACAGATACACGTTCTTTCTTCTCGGGGTATAGCAAGCCAGCGGCCAGTCTCTACAGATACACGTTCTTTCTTCTCTGTGTATAGCAAGCCAGCGGCCAGTCTCTACAGATACACGTTCTTTCTTCTCTGTGTATAGCAAGCCAGCGGCCAGTCTCTACAGATACACGTTCTTTCTTCTCTGTGTATAGCAAGCCAGCGGCCAGTCTCTACAGGTATACGTTCTAAAAGTTAGAAGCGGGAAAGATATTGTTCTAGGAAGGGGGGGGGGGGGGATATTTTTCAAAGGATGGGGAGGATTTAAGTAAATTAAATAAGATCCTTTTGAACTATTGCGCAGAGTACTCCACCATGACTGTGTAACTTGATTTTTCAACGGTTACTCTACATTAGAGACTAGCTACTTGCTGTTGTACAAATACGGGTTGTTTACACGTTTTCTGGACATTGTTCAACCAGCTATATAGGGTTATCATGAATTTCCAGTTTGTGCCACAAATTAATAATTCTTTTAGCTATGGTTATGTGAAAAGGAAAACGACCCAATTCTTCATATACCATGAATCCGGGGGTTGACGCCCGGAGACCCGATGCCATTTTAAAAGATACCCTTTAGTTGTACACTTTTAATAGATTCCACTGATTCGCAACCTCAGAGCCATACATACGAATTGGTGATGTCATGACATAAACGCTTTAGTATTGAATCTAATGGAAGATGTATATTACGAGCCTTCTTAAGAAGAACATATACTGCTTTTGTTGCAGTAGTAATAAGGTTCCTAATTGTCTTCTGTGTCTGTTTAATATAATCCCAAGATAAGTATAGTTATCTACCAATTCAATAGTCTCTTGACCGAGGTAGAACGACAAGTTAGATTTGTTACTGAGCCGCTACCAAAGATGACAATTTTAGTTTAAATACATTAACATCCACTTTCCACATTGAGCACTAATCATGAACAGCATTTAAAACTGATTGCAACTTCTCTGGGTCATCACTCTTATAAACTGTAGTGACGTATAACAGATTCGACCCACGACCTGGGGTATGACGTCATTCAGGTAGTCACCTCACCTGTCGGTATGAAGGTGTCGTCGAGGACGGCGTAGGCATCAGAGTTGATTCTGACAACGTGGTCGTCAATGTGGCCTGCAGACTGATGAAAACAGAGGTAACATAACTATCTTCCCCGCCAGTATTTACAACTAACCAGGAAAGATCGCTACCCTCCAAATCAACATATTCAGTGCCATATTTAGTAGCGGTGTGTTCACTTCCATTTTTAGCAAAAGGGTATTCCCGTCTGTTTTAAATTAAGCAAATTTCTAATCAAATCGGTTGTAGTGAACTTAAAACTTTTTGTCTTTCTTCATTTCATAGTTTCTATGTGTAGATTGTGACCCCTCAATGTCTTTAAATGATTGCGTAAAGATATGTGTTTCTCGAAAACGAATTTAAAGCGACCAGTTCAAAATGTAAATAAGTAAGGTCGCGCCCTCATACTGTAGATATATGATATACCCTTCGTTTATGAGCGTTGATTGCTGCAGATATTGTAATTACTTGCAGTATTGGTTACATTGTCATCATCCGTACACTTGTATATGGGCCACTGGCCAGCGTTCAGTAACTACTCTTTGACACAGTATTTCTGACAGAACTGAAACCCTAGAAATCTTACATGTCCGGCCATGTTGAAGTAGGCGTGGTTTGTGAGGTTGATGGGCGTGGTCTTGGTGGTGCGAGCCTCGTACTGAATGAACAGTTGATTGTCATCCGTCAGCTCATACGTCACGGTTGTCGTCACCTCACCCGGGAAGCCCTCTTCACCGTCGTCGCTGACGTACCTCAGTTGAAGTTTCTTGCCGTCCACGACATTGGCGGTCCACACGACTTTGTTGAAGCCTTTCACGCCGCCGTGTATAAAGTTTGACCCGTGGTTGGCAGCGAGGTTGTAAGTTTTTCCGTCCAAAGAGAATTTAGCTCCTGCTATACGATTAGCGACTCGTCCAATGACAGTGCCAATGTAGGGTGTGTTGTCTTGGTAACCTGGTGACATGAATAGAACAACCAATCATCGTCAAAAGAGTATACAACGACGATGTGCAGGTGTTGCTAAAGTAACATTGTCAGTTTCTCGTGTTCATGGTTAGTTTATATATGTTGTGCTGTGTGTCATACGGGGCGGTCGGGTAGCCTAGTGGTTAAAGCGTTCGCTCGTCACGCCGAAGACCCGGGTTCGATTCCCGACATGGGTACAATGTGTGAAGCCCATTTCTTGTGTCCCCCGCCGTGATATTGCTTGTATCATGCTAAAAGCGGCGTAAAACCATACTCACTCATGGTGTGTCATACAGAGATACAAGTGAGAAAACCACAACACGCAAAACGGCCTGTAAATAACCGAGACCAGAAAAACAGTGACTTATATCATGAGCACGACTTCGGGAACGATGACACGCTAGCAACCATGTCGCCAAGCCTCATCACCCGATCACTTTACTCGCTTCTTACAAGCATAGGTTGTTAGGAAGCAGTTCCAATCCTGAACCCCCACACGGGTGCTTATTGTTGATCTTAATCTCCAATGAAATGTACATACGCTTTTCCCTTAACGACCATCTGCGTCATTTGTCATAATAAAACACTTATCTTTGTCACGTGTGATATAAGCTTCGGGGCGGTGTGGAAGCCTAGTGGTTAAAGTGTTCGCTCGTCACGCCGAAGACCCGGGTTCGATTCCCGACATGGGTACAATGTGTGAAGCCCATTTCATGCTGTTCCCCGCCGTGATATTGCTGTATTTTGCTAAAAACGGCATAAAACCAAACTCACTCACTCATCCATATAAGCATCGGTCCAGTGACGACAGAATGAGAAGGTCTCAACCACAGCCCAGCTGGGATTAGACTGGGTGTTGAGGGGCACCCATATCACAACCGCAGCCACTGCTACTGTCACCTTGCCTCGTTCATCCGACCAAGCTACTGTCACCTTGCCTCGTTCATCCGACCAAGCTACTGTCACCTTGCCTCGTTCATCCGACCAAGCTACTGTCACCTTGCCTAGTTCATCCGACCAAGCTACTGTCACCTTGCCTCGTTCATCCGACCAAGCTACTGTCACCTTGCCTCGTTCATCCGACCAAGCTACTGTCACCTTGCCTCGTTCATCCGACCAAGCTACTGTCACCTTGCCTCGTTCATCCGACCAAGCTACTGTCACCTTGCCTCGTTCATCCGACCAAGCTACTGTCACCTTGCCTCGTTCATCCGACCAAGCTACTGTCACCTTGCCTAGTTCATCCGACCAAGCTACTGTCACCTTGCCTCGTTCATCCGACCAAGCTACTGTCACCTTGCCTCGTTCATCCGACCAAGCTACTGTCACCTTGCCTCGTTCATCCGACCAAGCTACTGTCACCTTGCCTAGTTCATCCGACCAAGCTACTGTCACCTTGCCTCGTTCATCCGACCAAGCTACTGTCACCTTGCCTCGTTCATCCGACCAAGCTACTGTCACCTTGCCTCGTTCATCCGACCAAGCTACTGTCACCTTGCCTCGTTCATCCGACCAAGCTACTGTCACCTTGCCTCGTTCATCCGACCAAGCTACTGTCACCTTGCCTCGTTCATCCGACCAAGCTACTGTCCCTTGCCTCGTTCATCCGACCAAGCTACTGTCACCTTGCCTCGTTCATCCGACCAAGCTACTGTCACCTTGCCTCGTTCATCCGACCAAGCTACTGTCACCTTGCCTCGTTCATCCGACCAAGCTACTGTCACCTTGCCTCGTTCATCCGACCAAGCTACTGTCACCTTGCCTCGTTCATCCGACCAAGCTACTGTCACCTTGCCTCGTTCATCCGACCAAGCTACTGTCACCTTGCCTCGTTCATCCGACCAAGCTACTGTCACCTTGCCTCGTTCATCCGACCAAGCTACTGGTTCCTTGCATTTTACTATGTGAATATATCTATAGGCACCTCATGTGTGTAAAGCGCATGCGCACAGCTCGTTGTTACTGTCATCCATAACAATATATTTTATTGAACACACACCTGTCATTTAAACTACTGGACACATGTTACACACTGGTATTCTTCGTCATACACCCATATTCGATGAGCCAATGCATTGGGTGAGTTGGGTCTACCGCCATTTTGAACAGTACTACAGTCACATGACATCTGAGAGGGCGACCAGGGAGGACTTCCGGTCTGTCAGTCAAAATGGGCGTAGCCTGTCCTGCAACACACGTCACCTCTACCAACCTGTTATGTCGTCGAAGCCGAGACTGATGTCGTCAACGTTGCCGTGTTTGTCTGGAACCAGGATGTCAGTGATGGTGGCGCCGTAGTTCAAGACGCGGACAAGGACGTTGTTGTTGGTAAGGGTGTATCTGGTGGAGAAACAAGGGGTAATTGGTTGCACACATCAAGCAGACCGGCAGCAGCGGGGCTGTAGAACATGTTCCAGTGAACTGTGGGTTCTAATTTCAAAAACGGGGTAACGTTGTTAAGAATCTGAGAACAGGTATGACAGAAGACAATGTGTGTGTTTACGTTTCCATAAACGGAAAGCATATCAGGCTACGCCAACTGAGAGCATTCTGGGTGGCGCCGGGCATTTTATCGACAAAAAATGTAATTGTTACCGAAAAGTCTTGAAAAATGTAATTAGACTGTTGACAAAAATGACATTGTTGCAAGGTGTTTTCCTTCAAAAGAGGTTCAAAAGTTTTCAATAAAATAAAAACATATCTGGATTTGTAGCTGTAGCTGAATATCTAATCGCAAACAGTCGTCTACAGTATTTGGGTTAATGATTTATTACGCAATTTGTGAAGATATTATTGTTGCCGTATTTATTTATAAGAACTTACTTCGATATGTTTTTTGCCTTTTTGGAGTTATATACGCTGGTTATTAACACAGTATGCACTCCGCTTTATACCTTTATACTTATATAAACGCAAAAAATATTGAAGTTAATTCTTAAATAAATCAACCGGGATATACACGTTGTACGGTATTCCTTCTTTATTTTTTAGCAGGGTATTGCCTTCTGTATTAAGTAAAATGATGTAGGTGTCTAAATTAAGTTTGTTTGTTTGCTAACGCCACACTCAATAGTTCAGCTCTATGACGGCGGAGTGTAAATAAATATAGTCTGGACCAGACAAGCCAGTAATTGACATCACGAGCATTGAATTCGACATTCACCTATCACCTATCAGCGGTCACCTGATAGTATCAACTGTCCAAAAGTTAAACTACCGTGTCACTCACACAGAGACGGCTGTAACGAAATGCATCCCGTATAGAGATACTTACATGTGCAAGAGATATTGGTTACATGTATTTTCATTATCGGACTGTGGAGCCTCTTCATATCATGCATGCGCTCCGTGTCAAGAGACGTCTACAGGTCAAGGCAAGGACACTATTGATTATGCATGCATGGTGTCAACACACACACACACACACACTCACACATTCACAGACACACACACATTGGGTGTCAATATTCTGTTCTTCACATACACACACACGTCACACACACAATGGGTGCAAATATTCTGTTCCTCACATACACACACACGTCACACACACAATGGGTGCCAATATTCTTTTCCTGACACACACACACACACACGTCACACACATTAGGGTGCAAATATGCTGTTCCTACGCACACACACACACACACACACTGGCTGACATTATTCTGTTCCTGGCAAACACACACACACACAGACACACTGGGTGTCAATATTCTGTTCCTACGCACACACAAACACGCACACACACACACTGGCTGACAATTTTCTGTTCCTCACATACACACACACACACGCACGCACGCACACACACACACATACACTGGCTGACATTATTCTGTTTCTTGGCAAACACACACACACACACATTGGGTGTCAATATTCTGTTCCTCACACACACACATACACACACACACACAATGGGTGCCAATATTCTGTTCCTGACACACACCCATTGGGTGTCAATATTCTGTTCCTCTCTCTCTCACACACACATACACACACATTGGGTGTCAATATTCTGTTCCTCTCTCTCTCTCTCTCTCTCTCTCACACACGCGCGCGCGCGCGCGCACACACACACATTGGGTATTCCATATCTGTACCTGACACACACGAGGCACACACTTTGTATCAAGGATTAAGAAGTTTTCATTCGGGCGAAGGGATCTTGGGTGAGACGAATGACTGACTGACTAACAAAGCAGGCAACCATTCATGTGTGTCTCCGCCTACTTGATAAAACGTCTTTGAGACGTCCCCCAGGCCACCATACAGCCACACGCGTATGATTCAACCACTGACCCAGTTAGAGAGTCTGGCTGTTAGACTAATTCTTGATACATTATTCCAACCAGTGTGAATCTTTAGCGTGTCTGAACAAGGAATTGTCACTTGTGTGTAACAGTCGTGTGATAGTGAGTTCATTTACCTGCTGACATTTTCTCCCGCCTCCGTCTTCCCGAACTCTTCCTCTGTGACAGGGGCCATTGAAACGTCAACTCGCAAATGTTACCTAATACACGCCGCGCAGTGATAACCTCCCTTCGTTGTTGTCTTTTAAGTGTCACAACAACTACTACTGTTCTAGAAACCAGATAAAGCATTCGTGATATATACTACTCAAAAGAAGTTAAGGACCACCCAATGCTTTCATATCACTACAGTTAGTGTGTCATGGCATGGCAGATTAGCTACAGTTAGTGTGTCATGGCATGGCAGATTAGCTACAGTTAGTGTGTCATGGCATGGCAGATCAGCTACAGTTAGTGTGTCATGGCATGGCAGATCAGCTACAGTTAGTGTGTCATGGCATGGCAGATCAGCTACAGTTAGTGTGTCATGGCATGGCAGATTAGCTTAGTAATGTGAAAGAATCAGGTGGTCCTTAATTTAAAAATTAAAATGTAGTCCATTTTGTTAGTACATTTTTTTTAAATGAACGAGCCTTGTATTTATACTAGAAAACCTAATTATCGCACATTTAGCGGTCACGACATTGTAGGAACTGTCCAAATGTTACACCGTCAACTAGCTCACACACACAGAGCTGTAACGAAATGCATCATATATAGAGATACTTAAGTGTGTATTTGTTTGTTTGTTGTTTAACGCCGCACTCAGCAATATTCCAGACCGCGGTCTGTAAATAATCGAGTCTGGGCCAGACAATCTAGAGATTGACATCATGAGCATCCATCTACGCAATTGGGATACGATGACATGCATCAACCAAGTCTGTGCGCCTGACCACCCGATCCTGTTACGGCAAGCATGGGTTGCTGAAGACCTATTCTACCCCGGATCTTCACGGGTCTTAAGTGTGTAAGAGATGTTGGGTACATGGAAGTGTATATTCACATTCGCGACTTCGTTTCAGCAACGTCCCTCGGGCGCGTCAGAAACCATTGTGGGTTCGAATCCCGGTTCGCCCTGATCATGTTTCTAGGTTTGTCAGCACCATACCCGTGCTCGTGGGTTTCACCGAAGTGGTAAACGTCTGAGACCTGCATCACTTCGAGCTTTCCTCCCACATTAAGCTGACACGCCGTGATATAACTGGAATACTGTGCAGTGCGGCGTCAAACTCAACTCACTCACTCGCTCTTTTCAGCAGGCATGCGTTCCGTGTCAGGAGACGTCTTCAGGTCAAGGCTACCTCTGAGTACAAGACAGTATAGATTATGTAAGGTCACGGGATCAGTTAGATAAGCAAGCAAGATGACAAAAACCTAAACAAGTCACGTGGCGCGTGTCCAGGGCTCAGGGTGCCGTGGTACAAAACAACCTTAGGGCTTCGACTGTCGTAAGTCCATGTTAGGGTATGGAAGTTACGATCACCTTAGCGCTAAGATCGCTTTGCACAACCGCACCCAGGTTACACACAACCGCACCCAGGTTACACACAACCGCACCTCGGTTACACACAACCGCACCCTGGTTACACACAACCGCACCCAGGTTACACACAACCGCACCCAGGTTACACACAACCGCACCTAGGTTACACACAACCGCACCTAGGTTACACACAACCGCACCTAGGTTACACACATCAGCTTGGCTCCTGAGAGTTTAAAAGGCTTGGTTCTTGCCCAACACTCAAACACACTCAGTACATGTGGTATCACCTTGTACAGGTGACTTTGTTCGAAATAGACCGCTGTTCATTAAACAAGACATGGGACACTGGATGCTGTAAGTCTGTGTTTAAGTATGACACTTGCTTCGCCTTAGCGACGTTGTCCTTCTGTCCTCCTCCCAAAGTGTGTAACAACTGGGATTATAGAGATGTGTGACAAAATAACCACAGGTCCCGGTAATAGTGTGATCTTATCTCAGCTGGTTCACGCGACATGCTTGAGGTAGTTGGGGTAGGGTCACATGGACGTCTTTCTTAGGTTCCATAACTCAACTACAAGGGTGTTACAACAAAATATATTTCTTACAGTAATGAGTTCATGAAATGTTATAACATCAATACCTCCAAAATGATATCAGTCACCTTCACGATCTGGAATATATAGTAAGGTTCAAAATTCTACCCCCAAAAATGTCTGAATATGTCATGAGATACGAATGCCATTTTACACGCATAAGGGATGCAGATCATCTCTTAATGGAAGTGTCGTTTATCCGTCACCATGGAAACAATGGCGCCTCCAGCCGGTCACACTCCAGACAGATCTATGACGTCATGACTCCAAACCGATAGGTGGTGCTCTGACGGTACGTCTCTCCAGGGTGTAGGATGGTGCTAGGGAACTTGGGCTAAACAGATCAGAATTAAAGCTGAAGACTTGTTCAATGAGAGATCAGCATTCGATCACGTTACCTATAGTTAAATCTTGAAAAATGTACAGCAGTAAAAACAAGAGGGACTCTGAGGTCAGATAATCGCAGAACTTTACTCAAGTTTTTGGGATAAAGCGGTAGTCTGTCATACAGACCCTGAAACACAGACCGTGAAACACAGACCCTGAAACGCAGACCCTGAAACACAGCCCATGCAAGTCTATATTATTTGACAAGTCTAGATGCAGTGTCAGGATAATGAACCGTCTCTTGCTTCCTTTATATTATATTTTATACTATAATTTAACAACTGTGAGATAAAGCGGTATATCCCAGGAGGAAGATGGGAGACAAAGCGGTATATCACAGGAGAAAGCCTGTCTGACAAGCAGCGTGGTTCTGTGACCCAGAGAACCATCCGCCCATCTTCCATAGGCAAGGGAGGCATCTGACTTAAAAGTTTAGTTTTTATAGTCAGTTAACTCCCTTGCCTCGGGACGTGGCAGGCAGAAAAGTAGCCAATCTAACAAAGTGTAATAAACTTAATGTTCATATCAAACTCAACTTGATACAACTGTAAACAGCCATTTTGTAATAAAGGCTGTTGTCCTTTATGGGGGTCACGGGTGGCCCAGTCGTCTGAGGCGCCGCGATTCGCTGTGCAGAGTTGCGTCACTTGGGCACGCCAGAAACCTATGATTGTGGGTTCGAATCCCGGTTCGCCCTGATTATGTTTCTAGGTTTGTCAGCACCATACCGTGCTCGTGGGTTTCACCGAAGTGGTAAACTTTCCTCTCACATTAGGTGACACGCTGTGTTAAACTGGAATACTGTTAAAAGCGGCGTCAAACTCAACTCACTCACTCACTCCTTTATGGGGAATTTGCTTTGTCGTAAACGTTATATTTCGTGGAGATTGCTGTTATATGAAGTCACCACTTGAACATGATTTCATGTTTATCAGTTTGACTTTTTCCGATAAACAATGCAAAGTTTTCGTGAAAAGCAAGACGACCTTTACCTCCAGGTTTCGATGGGTATTTCATTCGTTATATTTCTGTCAGAAACATTATTTACCGTTTGTTGGTTGTTTTCATATGAATAAATATTATCAAGTCTTAGAAAGGCATTAAGAAGTGATACACATAAGCAAGAGAATTTATGGATGTCAAGGTCTTTATTATGAGGAACACAACGTTTCGGAAAATATACTTACTCCTTCATCAGGCCGGGGGTAATTAGCGCTGATAGGTAAAAGAACAGGAATAAAGGAGTAGGAATATACTCCGAAACGTTTTTTGTTCCTCATAACAAAGAAGTTGACATCCATACATTCTCTTCCTTAATAATTATTATATCATAAAGAAAATGAATCTGTGAACAACTCACGTTGTGGACGCTGTCGGGGTAGTGTTGAGCCTCGAGACAGAACGCGGAGTACCTCCCATACACCGCCCCTCCCTTCCCGGGGTTGTTGAGCCAGTGCCCTGTGTAGAACATCAGGGCAGGCTCGGTGGTGGAACACTCGAAGTACCGGCCCGACCCTGGGTGTTCGAATCTGTGGAGAAAGCAACGTGACGTGAGTGAGTGGCGATATTTGTTTAATACTCCTCCTTAAAGACGAGAATCACTAACTTACATATTGCTGTTCATGTCCACCGAACATTTTCGGGGAGACCAAATTATCTTTTTTCCAGTTTGGGCATCAGGTGGTCGGCCGCTTACCTGGCGGCAAACTCTTTGTTCCCCGTCACCTGCAGGTTGTAATTACAGGTGAAGCCTCTGTCTACCTTGGGATTGTGCAGCCGGTCACCTACACGGGTGGGTGTCCGGAGGTCTTGGGGCTGACCAGTCACATCTTGGATTTCACCTGCATATATATACAACAAGGTCATGTACAGTGAAACCGCGCTGGTCTGGACCCCGTACATCCCGGACATGGGGCGTCTAGTAGTGAGTGAGTAGTGGCAATATTCCAGCATTATCACAACTGGAGACACTAGGTGTTGATTTCACACATTGTAACCATGTGAGGAATCGAACCCCGGCCTTTGGCGTGAGGTGTGAACGCTTTAACCACGAGGCTACCCCACCCCACGGATGTCTTCTATACTTCAAGGGAGATAACTACCAACCCATGTCGTTATTAATCCGGACATATGTTAATACACACAATCTTACTTACCGTACCATTCGGATAACACGGTTTCAGATTATCATCTTAGCATCAATTTCTTAAATGCAGATAAAGTGGTTGCAGACTGTATACAGTCTATGTGTATGCACCTGTTGGTATATAGAGGTTATTCATAGGTAGATATGTGTCAGCCTTCACTGTCGCCACGTGGTTCTCCAACTCTGCTGCTCCCGCGCCCTGAAACAGTGTAAAGGATTAAAGCTACGAGATCAGATTGTGAGGAATTGCTGGATAGGAAGTACTTGGCGGATGAGGGATGACAAAGTAGACAATTAATGGACCCTTCTTGACAGCGGTATAAGGATCTATACCGAAACGTCGCCTTTACAGTATTAAAGAAGTAGTTATCCATAAATTGTGTCTACTTTGTCAGATTGTGAGGATGTTCAAAACCAGATATGTGCTTTTCTCTGTTTTGATATCTAAGTTTTGTTTACTATTAGAAAACAAATTAGAAAACATATCTGACCATGGCCTGTCCGAATACATCGCGTCCTAAACAATACGACAACCTCAAAAGGAACATTTTGCCTGACACACTACAGTCCTGGTCACTTGTAATAGAATCACGAAGACAGCTGCATGTGTGCTAATACTTATAAAGTGAAACCAAGCCATTCCGCCCATAGGGAATATTACTTACATTACTGGCAAAAATTGTATAGTGCGCTTTTCAAGAAATGTCCAACTTTTTTTGCCAATAAACACCATAATTGAGTTTTCATCCCTCAAGTGGCGAGGACAATAGGGCAATCCCAACAGGCAGATCTCGCCACAAACAATAGGACGATCCCAACAGGCAGATCTCGCCACAAACAATAGGACGATCCCAACAGGCAGATCTCGCCACAAACAATAGGACGATCCCAACAGGCTGATCTCGCCATAAACAATAGGACGATCCCAACAGGCAGATCTCGCCATAAACAATAGGACAATCCCAACAGGCAGATCTCGCCATAAACAATAGGACGATCCCAACAGGCAGATCTCGCCATAAACAATAGGACGATCCCAACAGGCAAATCTCGCCATAAACAATAGGACAATCCCTACAGGAAGATCTCGCCACAAACAATAGAACGATCCCAACAGGCAGATCTCGCCATAAACAATAGGACGATCCCAACAGGCAGATCTCGCCACAAACAATAGGACGATCCCAACAGGCTGATCTCGCCATAAACAATAGGACGATCCCAACAGGCAGATCTCGCCATAAACAATAGGACAACCCCAACAGGCAGATCTCGCCATAAACAATAGGACGATCCCAACAGGCAGATCTCGCCATAAACAATAGGACGATCCCAACAGGCAAATCTCGCCATAAACAATAGGACAATCCCTACAGGAAGATCTCGCCACAAACAATAGAACGATCCCAACAGGCAGATCTCGCCACAAACAATAGGACAATCCCTACAGGCAGAGACCGCCTCCGTGGTCTAGTGGTAGAGCGTCCGCCCGGAGAGCGGAAGGTCCGGGGTTCAATCCCCGGCCGCGTCATACCAATAGCCGTTAAAAGATGGTACTTGTTGTAACCCTGTCTGGCGCTCGGCATTATGGGGCTAAAACAAGGACTGGTCGGCTCTGAGTCAGTATACTGTGTCTGAGTGGGATATTCATGTTAAACTGCGGCATGGTATCTCAGTGAGCTAGCACTATAAATCAGCATCAGTCCGGACTAGTACAAGCAGCCACACAAACACACACACGTACATGCACGTCGCTATATAAGTGCAATAATCTTGGACGCGATGTTAAACCCCATTTCACCTCACCTCACCTACAGGCAGATGTCGCCACAAACAATAGGGCAATCCCAACAGGCAGATCTCGCCACAAACAATAGGAAAATCCCAACAGGCAGAACAGAACTTTGAAGAACTACCCAATCCCAGTCTCTATGGAAAGATTCATTTCCCGTCCATTACTCACATGTCCGGCCAGGTTAAAATACACGTGGTTCGTGAGGTTGATGGGCGTGGCCTTGGTGGTGGTCGCTGTGTACTCGAGAGTCAAGCCGTTGTCGTCATCTAACTCATACGTCACCACCGTGGTTACCTCCCCTGGGAAGTTCTCCTCTCCGTCAGGGCTGACATACTTCAACACTAACTTATTCCCTTCTATGGTGGCATCCCAGAGCATCTGTTGGAAGCAGAATGTGGACAGTGCGGTTTAGAACCATCGTCATGCGACTTCGTGCATGAAACACTATCATGTTAATGTTTACTATTGGCTTGTGATTCTTAAACCCATACTTATGATGTACTAGTAGTAGGGATTTCATACGATTAGTCAAGTCAAGTCTTTTGTGTACAGGGAAAGTGCATATGTACATATTGCAATGGTATATGAATTCATACATAACTTGCATTATATTATTCCAGTATTTGCAAAATCTTTGTCTCATTGAATAACTTTGACATAGGTATTTACATGAGTCTCTTAGTCACCAGACAGAAGCGTTCTCAATGTATACATATTCAGACAGAAGCGTTCTCAATGTATACGTATTCAGACAGAAGCGTTCTCAATGTATACATATTCAGACAGAAGCGTTCTCAATGTATACATATTCGGATGATAGAGGAGTCTTATGTTCTTACAGGAATTACATATCAAATTAAATGATAATCTCTTCTGTCCCTATATTGGAAAAGTGAAAACGGAAAGTTTTTTGCCGTGTTGGTTCTCGCAAAGCACATGTTTTTTTCACGTTTAGTCTTCGAGCTAACCTACAAACCAAATCACGTCAGTCATGAATTAATGATATCTATTAAAAACACCATAAACACATATTCCTCCATGTTCGTTTGTTTGTTCGTTGTATAACGACGCACTCAGCAATATTCCAGCTCTATGACGACGATCTGTAAATAATCGAGTCTGGACCAGACAATCCAGTGATTGACATCATGAGCATCGATCCACGCAATTGAGATACGATGACATGCATCAACCAAGACAGCGAGCCTGACCACCCAATCCCAATAGTCGCCTCTTACTGCAAGGATAGGTTACTGAAGATAGTTCTAACTCATCTTCGTGGTTATGATGTGAATATAACAAATTACAGCTCCATGCGAAATGTATGCTCCAAGCGCTGCAATATTATTACCCACAACTAAGCTTAATGAGATTGTTGCTTCAGCTGCATTTCAGCACGCTATAAATGTAAGTCACGTGATCAAATGACGATCTCTTATTGGATACACCTGAATATCCGGTTTAGAATTGGTCACCAGCAACCGAGGCTTGTCCTAAGAGGCGACTACCGGGATCGGGTGGTGAGACTCGCTGACTTGTTTGATGCATGCCATCGTATCCCAGTTGCGTGGATCGATGCTCATGATATCAATCACTGGATTGTCTGGTCCAGACACGATTATTTACAGACCGCCATCATATAGCTGGAATATTGCTGAGTGCGGAGTATAATAACCTAAGAAATGTTAGGACTTGCTGGTCGGTCTGTGACCTGGCTGATTGTGTGCCATCATGTCACGACGGCTTGGACAGCTGCTCATGTATTCACGAACGACAGCAAATGCTTCAATGGAACAGGGACATTGGTGAACAGGACGCTTCCAGTCAATACGTGCACCCTCTTGATGCACGGAATTGGTGGCATACATGAACAAGTGAGTGTATCACGTGTTAATAGGCGTACCTTGTCAAAACCCTTAGTGCCACCGTGCACGAAGTTGTTGGCCTCCTGGCGGTCGTTGGCGTTGAGGTTGTAGGTTTTGCCGTCAAGGGCGAAGGTGGCTCCGGCAATGCGGTCAGCCACACGGCCCACAAGAGCGCCCATGTAGATGGGGTTGGCTTGGTAACCTTGCAGAGAGAGGTGACATTGGAATGTGGTTAACAGTCCTGAAGACATGTCCCAACCAGTTAACGTTGGACTTGGTCATGGTTTGAAACAAACAATAGAAATACCTATGGTGTAACAAAACATATTGTGGTCCATGAACTATAGAGTCTGACACTCATCTGTGTCCCGGCCTGTGTAGGGTGTCCCGATTGTACGGAGGGCCAGCGACAAATACCGTCAACCATGTACTGGTCTGCCTCACTCACTCACTCACTCACACCGTAGGCCGCCAAGATGTCGCAGGGATACTGACTAGGGAGTGAGACCGCCTCAGTGTCGGCCCCCTCCGTCTTCAGAGTGTGAAACCTCCTCTCTAGCTTCCCGCCATACCTCCTTACACAATTTAAATATCAATTCATAGCCGTGTGGTTCAAGTGCTCGCTCGTCACGCCGAAGGCCAGCGTTCGATTCCCCAGATTGGTACAATGTGTGAAGCCCCCATGATATGGCTGAAAATACTGATGAAGGTAGCGTCACTCACTCACTCACTCACTCACTCACTCACTCACACCTTCAATGTCTTCAAAGCCTGGGCAGATGTCCGCGACCCTCCCCGCTCTGTCTGGCACCCGGATCTCTGTGATGGTACCGCCGTAGTTGATGATGCGGACCACGACGTCGTTCTTGTTTGTCAACGTAAACCTGAAACCGGTTACAAAATACCAAAAATGCATAACAGTTGTCTATTGAAATTAAAATCATACCCTTTTCGCGAACACTTGGTGTCATCACTGATTTTCATTGGTCCGTTCATATAATTTTCACAGCTATTTTGCTTTTATGAAATCGGTGGATAATCAAGACTGGTTATTCGCTTCAAATTAACGATTTATATTTCCTATCCTTTATTTTATATTAGACAAGTCAGTATTAAAAAAATTTATAAGATGATGTTGAATTCACAATGCAACTACTTTCTTACATTAATATCGTACGGATGTTCTTCAACAATCTGTCACAAATAATATACATAATTCAGACACATAGGTTGTATCTCATGAGATTCCGATTGTGGTCCCCAATAACAAGTGCTTGCACGGCATTGTACTGTAAGGGCGCTGCGCATGTCAGGATATCAACCAAAGGTCTGTCGAGTCTAGACCGGAAGTTCCGGGCTTGGATCCCCGGTCGCGTCATACCAACAAACGTTAAAAAGATGTTTCTTGTTTCTACCCTGTCTGACGCTCGGCATTAAGGGGCTAAAACACGGACTCGGAGTCAGTATACTGTGTCTGAGTGGGGTATTCATGTTAAACTCCAGCATCGTATCTCAGTGGGCTAGCACTATTAAATCGGCATCAGCCCGGACTAGTACAAGCAGACACACAGACACATACACGTGCATGCACGTCGCTATATAAGTGCAATAATCTTGGACGCGACGTGGATTCCGACTCACCTAACCTCGAACACTGTGGAGTTCAATACAACCACGTGAAAGCAATTACTAGCATATACTACTCAAAAGTAGTCAAAGATCACCATCAAGAAGGCTGTGTGTTTAAATACCCCCCAGTCATGACAGATTAACTATCGTTATTACACACTGCCAATGTCTTGACACAAGAGCACTCATTACATCGTCTAGACTGACTCTAGAGCCTAGTCCCTCTTTAACGGCTTTATAATATCGGGACGTGTAACAAGTCTAGTGACATGCCTTGACCTGAAAATGACCTGACTGACTTTACCACAGACCTACCTGGTCACCTCTTTTCCGTCCCTCGTCTGACCGTAGCTGTTCTGTGTAACGCGCGACATGGTGGACTTGGCAGACTGTGGTGGACTGTGGTGGACTTGGCTGACTGTGGCGGACTGTGGTGGACTTGGCGAACTGTGGTAGACTGTGTTACAAGCCCGGCTCAACACGGCTTCTGACCAGGAGATGTCGCTAAAAGCACCAAGCTACCCACTTGCCCATAATCTTTAATCTCTTCTAGGTCAATGAAGACCAATTGCAGTTACTTCCCTTCCGTTTAAAAAACATAACATTAGAAGTTTAGAAGAATACAGGTTGTTAAGTTGATCATGCAAAAGTAGGGCATGTCTAGGAGTTTGGAAGTTTCGGCTCTACCTCTTGAATCTACGTGTTTGCTCTTCGGTTGACATATGGCCGAGGAGGAGCGGGGAGAACTGGTCTATCGGTCAAAATGAGAATACGTTAGCCTGGCAGTATACGTCATGTTTGGCCGGGATGTCAGTGGCGGTGGCGCCGTAGTTTATGACGCGGACAAGAACGTTGTTGTTTGTCAGGGTGTATCTGACGGAGAAACAAAATGTTAATTAATTGGTTGAAATGAAATCTTTCCCTGAGGCCGTGGTCGTTGACTCCGAGTTGTTGTGGAGTGTGACAGTTGTTCAGCAGTTGCATTAAAGAAACCGACATGAGCCGTGCCCGCGCGCAGGGGAGTAGGATCCAGTGACAGGCGGGTCCTCATCTCAAGAGAGCGGGGCAAGCTTGTTACAACAAGTATGCCAACTCTTCAGTATAAATGAGAATAATTCAACCAGGATGTGCACGTTGTTCATGTATTATTGACATCATAAAATAGGGAATAAATAGTAAAACGGCGCCTCAGAGTACATTATTACTTTGAATATACACGGACAGTTGGACACGTTATATTTAAGAAATAAACGACGAGTGGGATGTAATGTACTCCTGAATTTACTAGCAGGGCATTGTCTTCTGTATTTACCAGAAGAGTATAACAATAATATATGCATTTATAATGCGCCAAATTCCATTCACCAAGTGGATGCTCATAGCGTTACACTCTCAGGGTATAACCGTCTGTGTGGTAGCAGGGCATTGCCTTCTGTATTTACCAGAAGAGTATAACAATAATATATGCATTTATAATGCGCCAAATTCCATTCACCAAGTGGATGCTCATAGCGTTACACTCTCAGGGTATAACCGTCTGTGTGGTAGCAGGGCATTGCCTTCTGTATTTACCAGAAGAGTATAACAATAATATATGCATTTATAATGCGCCAAATTCCATTCACCAAGTGGCTGCTCATAGCGTTACACTCTCAGGGTATAACCGTCTGTGTGGTAGCAGGGCATTGCCTTCTGTATTTACCAGAAGAGTATAACAATAATATATGCATTTATAATGCGCCAAATTCCATTCACCAAGTGGATGCTCATAGCGTTACACTCTCAGGGTATAACCGTCTGTGTGGTAGCAGGGCATTGCCTTCTGTATTTACCAGAAGAGTATAACAATAATATATGCATTTATAATGCGCCAAATTCCATTCACCAAGTGGATGCTCATAGCGTTACACTCTCAGGGTATAACCGTCTGTGTGGTAGCAGGGCATTGCCTTCTGTATTTACCAGAAGAGTATAACAATAATATATGCATTTATAATGCGCCAAATTCCATTCACCAAGTGGCTGCTCATAGCGTTACACTCTCAGGGTATAACCGTCTGTGTGGTAGCAGGGCATTGCCTTCTGTATTTACCAGAAGAGTATAACAATAATATATGCATTTATAATGCGCCAAATTCCATTCACCAAGTGGATGCTCATAGCGTTACACTCTCAGGGTATAACCGTCTGTGTGGTAGCAGGGCATTGCCTTCTGTATTTACCAGAAGAGTATAACAATAATATATGCATTTATAATGCGCCAAATTCCATTCACCAAGTGGCTGCTCATAGCGTTACACTCTCAGGGTATAACCGTCTGTGTGGTAGCAGGATATTGCCTTCTGTATTTAGTGCATCACTTGCTTGTTAGCGGTGTTGGAACCTACACCGAAACGTGGCTCCTAATTGTAATAAAAAGTTTATCCATATACCCTATCCTTACTTATTCAGTAAAACGATATGGGTGGCTATATTAGGTTTGTTTGCTTTTTGTTTAACGCCTCGATCAGCTCTATGACGGCGCTCTTTAAATAATCTAATGACCCGAAATTACGATAGATGGCATGCATTCAGTTAAGTCACCACGCCTGACTTCCCCATCCATTTAGTCGCCATGTACAAGTATAGATTGCTGGGGACCTATATTCTTACCCGGAATCCCCAGGTTTCTATAATTAGTAGCAAGGAATTCCATTCTGTATTAGGTAACTGGGGCCAGTGGGTTAAGGTGATGCAAATTGCAGTTGTCTCCCTTAGTTGTGCCCGAGTCAACTGATCGTGGGTTAGAATCCGATGAACTGTTGAACCTGCAAGTAGCTGACACACAAACAGCTGTAAACACATGCGTCCTGTATAGAGATACTTACGTGTGTAGGGTGTTGTTTTCTTTTGTTTGTTGTTTAACGCCGCCCTCAGCAATATTCCAGCTATATGACGGCGGTCTGTAAATAATCGAGTCTGGACCAGACAATTCAGTGATTGACATCATGAGCATCGATCCAAGCAATTGGGATACGATGACATGCATCAACCAAGTCAGCGAGTCTGACCACCCGATCCCGTCAGTCGCCTCTTATGACAAGCATGGCCGCCTATTACGGCAAGCATGGGTTGCTGAAGACTTGTTCTACCCCGGATGTTCACGGGCCACACACACCAGCTTGACTCTTGGGAGTTTCTTCAGCTTCGGTCTCGCCCATCACAGAAGCACATTAGGGACATGTACAGGTGACTTTGTTCGAAATAGGCCGCTGTTCATTAAACAGGAAATGGGTACATGTTAACAGTCTAGCGCACTAGACAACATTGGATGTATACTCCCCAGGAAGCTGAGAATGAATATCTAGCGCACATTGATCAATTGACACATGTAATAATGTGATCTAACATGGTCCAAGCGCATTTGAGAGGTTATACAATGGAAAGTGCGCTATACAAATATATCAGTGAATTGATGAACAATACAACAGAGGGTGGCTCCTGCACAGGCGTCACAAAAGTCAGGAAGTACGGCAGTTACGGTCGTCTTAGCGCTACGATTGTCTCAAATATGTGTCGACGTGTGGAAGTTACGATTGTCTTTGTGCTACAGTCGTCGTACATCTGTGCGCATGCATGGTCATGTATTGAAGTTACGGTCGTCTTGGTTCTACGATCGTCGTACATCTGTGGTAAAATATGGAAGTTACGGTCGTCTTGGTTCTACGATCGTCGTACATCTGTGGTAAAATATGGAAGTTACGGTCGTCTTGGTTCTACGATCGTCGTACATCTGTGGTAAAGTATGGCAGTCACGGTCGTCTTTGTGCTACAGTCGTCGTACATCTGTGGTAAAGTATGGCAGTCACGGTCGTCTTGGTTCTACGATCGTCGTACATCTGTGGTAAAGTATGGCAGTTACGGTCGTCTTGGTTCTACGATCGTCGTACATCTGTGGTAAAGTATGGCAGTTACGGTCGTCTTGGTTCTACGATCGTCGTACATCTGTGGTAAAGTATGGCAGTTACGGTCGTCTTGGTTCTACGATCGTCGTACATCTGTGGTAAAGTATGGCAGTTACGGTCGTCTTGGTTCTACGATCGTCGTACATCTGTGGTAAAGTATGGCAGTTACGGTCGTCTTGGTCCTACGATCGTCGTACATCTGTGGTAAAGTATGGCAGTCACGGTCGTCTTGGTTCTACGATCGTCGTACATCTGTGGTAAAGTATAGCAGTTACGGTCGTTATGGTTCTACGATCGTCGTACATCTGTGGTAAAGTATGGCAGTCACGGTCGTCTTGGTTCTACGATCGTCGTACATCTGTGGTAAAGTATAGCAGTTACGGTCGTCTTGGTTCTACGATCGTCGTACATCTGTGGTAAAGTATAGCAGTTACGGTCGTCTTGGTTCTACGATCGTCATACATCTGTGGTAAAGTATAGCGGTCACGGTCGTCTTGGTTCTACGATCGTCGTACATCTGTGGTAAAGTATGGCAGTCACGGTCGTCTTGGTTCTACGATCGTCGTACATCTGTGGTAAAGTATGGCAGTTACGGACGTCTTGGTTCTACGATCGTCGTACATCTGTGGTAAAGTATGGCAGTCACAGGCGTCTTGGTTCTACGATCGTCGTACATCTGTGGTAAAGTATGGCAGTCACGGTCGTCTTGGTTCTATGATCGTCGTACATCTGTGGTAAAGTATGGCAGTTACGGTCGTCTTGGTTCTACGATCGTCGTACATCTGTGGTAAAGTATGGCAGTCACGGTCGTCTTGGTTCTACGATCGTCGTACATCTGTGGTAAAGTATGGCAGTTACGGTCGTCTTGGTTCTACGATCGTCGTACATCTGTGGTAAAGTATGGCAGTTACGGTCGTCTTGGTTCTACGATCGTCGTACATCTGTGGTAAAGTATGGCAGTTACGGACGTCTTGGTTCTACGATCGTCGTACATCTGTGGTAAAGTATGGCAGTCACGGTCGTCTTGGTTCTACGATCGTCGTACATCTGTGGTAAAGTATGGCAGTTACGGTCGTCTTGGTTCTACGATCGTCGTACATCTGTGGTAAAGTATGGCAGTCACGGACGTCTTGGTTCTACGATCGTCGTACATCTGTGGTAAAGTATGGCAGTCACGGTCGTCTTGGTTCTACGATCGTCGTACATCTGTGGTAAAGTATGGCAGTTACGGTCGTCTTGGTTCTACGATCGTCGTACATCTGTGGTAAAGTATAGCAGTTACGGTCGTCTATGTTCTACGATCGTCGCACATCTGTGGTAAAGTATAGCGGTCACGGTCGTCTTGGTTCTACGATCGTCGTACATCTGTGGTAAAGTATGGCAGTCACGGTCGTCTTGGTTCTACGATCGTCGTACATCTGTGGTAAAGTATGGAAGTTACGGTCGTCTTGGTTCTACGATCGTCGTACATCTGTGGTAAAGTATGGCAGTCACGGTCGTCTTGGTTCTACGATCGTCATACATCTGTGGTAAAGTATGGCAGTCACGGTCGTCTTGGTTCTACGATCGTCGTACATCTGTGGTAAAGTATGGCAGTTACGGTCGTCTTGGTTCTACG